TCTCATGCAGATGACCACAAAGAGAGTTACTGTAGATGTTCTTTAATCCTTAGTTTTACCCAAAAAGCAGTGTAAGAGCCTACAAGCATCAGGAAGCAAAAGAGCCTGGATGTAAAAGTTTAACTAAATGTAGAACTTGAGAATATGGCATATGTGGGTATAAATCTGGTTAGGTAAAATAGAAAGTCGATTTTTGAGACCAGCCTACTTAGCATAGGGAAGTTGTATTTTTCATGGTCATACTCAGATGCTAATTTGTTTTTCATCTTCATTTCATTCATTAATCAAGGCTATGATTTACTGACCACCTGTGTCGAACTGAGTTCTTAGGGAGTCAGATGCTGAGACAGAGTTAATAGTGCAGGGGCTTTATTGGGGGAGGGAAATATAATACTTTTGAAAGATAAGGGGAGCAAGCAGAATTGGACAGGGAAAGCTTTCAAAATTGGACGTTGATCTGACACTCGTGAAAGGGAAAGGGGACAAGAAGCAGAATTGGGCAGGGAGAGCCTCAGACTGTGATGGAGATCTGACAAATACCTCAGCCAACCCAATGGGGAGCTCCAGAGCAAAGATTACCCAGTAGAAGAGACTCCATTTGTGTAGAAGGAGCCATACACTGTCTTCTCCATGATCAGTCATTGGTGGGGGCTGCCCAGAACGGGTGTGGCCTTGGCTCCTGCCATGGCAGGTCCCAGTGGCCCTGCCACTGGAAGCTGTCAGCTTATTGCATTTCTCACAGGTGAAAGGCTGGTTCTCTCTTAATATAATAGGACTGCACCTCAGCAGCTGCCACACTACCTTTGAATTATAAAGTATTAAAATTGAAAGTTCAAGAAAGTATTAGTTCAAATTAGGCATTTATTGGGGGGTGGGCTCTGAGAAGCTCACTAAAATAATAAAACCCTCAGAGAATCCGGACTTAGTGTTGGATGACCTGCATTATTTGGGTGTATCATACGTATTATTTTTCATTTGTTAAATGTGAATAATGACATACCTCTTCCCTATATACCTCACAAAGTTGTAAAAAATAAAAAAACATAGTAGATGTGTAAGAAAGGTGAGAGAACAATGGGTACCATGTGGAAATGTGAGAGGTAGTACAGTATAATAGAAAGTGGAGGGAAGCAGACAGGGCTGTCCCTTGTACTTATGGAGGAAGAAAATGGTTACTACATTCAGAAAAGGTAGATGAAAAGAAAATCATTTAAAATGTATTAGGGAGCTAGCTATTTAAATATTTCTATGGCTAGTCTTATTACAATGCAAATAATTGCCACCTACTCAATCCTGGTATAAATCTTGAGTTTCCTAAGACAGGCTTGTTAAAAACCAGGGATACTATACATATTTATACTTAAGTGAAAAATATTAACTAGTTGTTGTTATTTATTTCACAGAAAAAGAAAAGGATAATATTTTTTAAAGTTAACTGAAATTCAGGTTTTATCAGATTAGACATTGGTGCACTTTCTGTAAAGAACCAGATAGTTAATGTTTTAGGCTACTATGAACTCTGTGGGCCCCGTATGGGTCTCTGTTGCATTTCCTTCCTTTCTTCTTTCCTTCTCTCTCTCTCTCTCTCTCTCTCTCTCTCACACCCCCTCTCCCCGCCTCCTCCTTCTTTTACAGCCTTATAAAAATGTAGACATTCTTACCTTAGTAGAACCTAGACTGCACTGCTGTAGATTGAACTCTGGCTTAAACTTATTTTTGACTACTTTCAGAAATGGACAGAATGCCCAATTCTGTATTAAATTCTATATTTAAAAAAGAGAGAATGAAATTTGGAAGTCATACTGGCCTGGATTTGAGCTCTGTACAACTGCGATGCTCAGCTTCCTCGTATGTAAACTGAGACCAGTGCTAGTTGCCTGAGTGTGGTTGTCTATATTTTAACAAAATAATTTGGGAAAAGTACTTTACCTAGAGGTTATCATATAATCGAACCTCAGCAAATGATATTTCTTTCCTCCCTTCCTTTTCTTGTTGATGACATTTCCCAGTCTTTTTTCCCCTTTTCTTTGAATTGTTTTAGCAAAATTCTAGACTGTCTCTGCTAAGTTATTTTAGTAGAACTCTCAGTTTGACCTAATTTGAGTCAATTTAATTTGTCAGCATTTTGATTACTTGGGACAGATCATTGACTTTACTTCCTCTTAAGTCTCTATCCACAAAAGACAGTCACTCCTAGACCTCTTCTGTAGTGCCTGACAATCTATATTTTAAAAATATATTGATATATGCTAGTGACAAAACTTTCATGGGAATTTTAGAGAATTTTTCCCAGAAGTCTCTAAAGAATATTTATATTCTTATAGATTCTCTTAGAATTGAAAAGAATATAAATATTTTAAACCATATACTAAAACTGAAAACAAAATATGAAGGTGAGGGTGGGTATGGACAGTCATCCATTTTGCTAAATAAATCTTAACTTTACTGTTTTGTTCAATCTCTTAGAATTGAAAAGAATATAAATATTTTAAACCATATACTAAAACTGAAAACAAAATATGGAGGTGAGGGTGGGTATGGACAGTCATCCATTTTGCTAAAGAAATCTTAACTTTACTGTTTTGTTCAATAGCCTTTCATGATTATTTGAATCCTACCTGTAACTCTCTATTAAGACCAGCAAGAGCATTTCTGGTTGGTTGGATAATACCTACTGCTTTTGCCTTAGAAATTTCTTTCTTAAAATACATGCACCGTGAGGTTGCAACCATGCATGTTTGAAATCACTTTTAGGTCTGAAATATCCATTAACTAAAATAGTCGGCAAACAGTTAATGTGAGTTTTCTGTACAGTATTGTTAGCTTCTTATCTTTATGTTAAATGGAAACCCTGCACTGCCTTTCAAAGTTTGAGCAACCTAGCACAACCCTGAGGCCCATAGCTCAGTGATGACCAAGACAGCCTTAATGTTCCCCCTCAGCCCCACTGACCTTTTGACAGGTTTCTTCATGACCATAAGTCCCTGACTTCCCTCATCTACTTAAGAAAACTTGAAATTGGAGATTCTTTCTCTGCCCTTGTGAGATGTAAATCTTCTCTCAGCCTCTTGCCAAATCCAGGAATGGGAGTCATCTCTTTGTTGAATAATAGTCTTCATGGGAGGTGGGATCCTAAGTGGCATTTAGCAAACACAGATGGCCTAATCACATTGACTGACTTCCCCCTAACGTCCTCTGGTACTTTTCCACTAGCTCACCCCATCACTTAAAAACTTTCCTGCCTTTTGTTTCGGTGGAGTTGAGTTCAGATTCTCTGTTGCAGTAGTCTCTCTCCCCTATGGCAGTAGTCTTGAATAAAGTCTTCCTTATCTGTTACCCGTTTCACTTGTCTGGTGTAATTTCCCTTTGACAGTAATTGATAGTGAAGACTCTAGAGTCAGAACTGCCATAGAACCTGGCTTTACTTTACTACACAAGTCATACAACCTCCCTAAGCTTCATTTGCATATGAATAAATTGGAGATAATGGTTCCTACCTGTAGGATTTCTGTGAGGATAGCAAGGGTCAATTAATGGACAGTACTTAGCACACTGGCACACTGGTGCATAGTAGGCATTCAATAAAATTTACATCTTATTTTTTGGACTAATAGCTACATGAAAACTTCCTGATATATCTTTTTTAAAATAGTAAACTGTTGTAGTGTATTGAAATCTGATTCCATTTGCTGAATTATGAATATATAATTTTCTGGGATATCTGCTTTGCAAAGTGAAGTCTATTTAGTTCTTGAAATAAAGACAAAAATGCATTAGAAACTCTGAAAGCAAGCAGCTGGTTTTATATCTGATCCTGTAGTGTCTAGTTACGTAGGGTAGTCAGATCAGTTACTTCTGAGGCTATGTTAAGAAACAGCATGCAGAAAAGAGAGAGACAAACTGAAATACTGTATTGTTTTCAGACAGTCTAGCATGTTACTCCATCAAATGAAGAAAACTCTGTGCTGCTTATATTTTAAAGTTCAAAAAATTTCCTACTTAGGCTATTCTAAAACCTGAGTTTTCATTTCATGGATATTATATTTTAAAATTCAGGTTATATTGCAATACTTTATTGTCTTGTAGCTACATTATGACACATTGCCCAAATCCCTAAATTTAAAGAAATATATATATGAAACAACACATTTTAAAAGTTGAAACTGCATTCTTTTTGGGGGGTGGGGGAATATGGTAATAATATAGTTGAGAATTACTATTTTCTAATTACTTATCACAATAAATGTCTAGTCAAAACAGTGCTCATTCAGTGTATTCTATATCTGTAAAACTACTCCTCTCCCTTCCTTCTCTCTCCAAAAGTAATCTGAGAAAAATTCACTTAAATTGCTATCTGACTTTTAACAATCTATATTCTGTTTGGAGACCTTGCTTGTAATTCTTACTGGCTTACAAAGATAATGGTGATGATATGGATCAGTCTGAAAGGCCAGAAGTCCTGCATTGGTGTTCCATTCTTAAATACAGACAATACAGTGGGTTGTTTTGTTTTTGGTTTTGGGGTGTTTTTTTTCTGAGTCATTACTCACTATTTTTATACTTCCTGTTAATGGAGACTCTTACAACATTACGTTTATGTTTTTAGAATGTTTGTTCTCATCTCCCCTCCCTGCTTGACAGGGAGAGCTAACAAGAAAAGGCAGAGCCTCGTAAGCTGTGCCAACACGGATAAAAAGACATATTGTGATTTATGATTCTAGGTGCCCACCTGGAGGGAAGGAAATTTAAGAGCAAAATAAAAAGCAAACTAAAAATCTAAGTCATCTCAGAAATAAGATATGCCAATGATGAAGTAAGGATTTAAGTTGGAAAGTTATTTGTTATGGCCCCCAGTTGCACATATTTTATCCTAAGGCACCATTTGGTTTAATAAAATGTAGACCTGAGGCTGTTCTTAATCTATCAGTTTCTTAAGACTTAATTATAAAGGTTATATTTTCAGAGGACAAAAGCATTATTCATTTGTTCATGTCTTTCAGGTTTATCTTGTAGATTATGGACTTTCCTACAGATATTGTCCCAATGGGAACCACAAACAGTATCAGGAAAATCCTAGAAAAGGCCATAATGGGACAATAGAGTTTACTAGCTTGGATGCCCACAAGGGAGTAGGTGAGTTTCTTTTTTCTTTTTTTCTTTCAATTTCAGAGGAATAATTAGAATCAAGAGTAATAATGCTACAAGAAATGACCTTTGCATAGTCAGTTTGAAGAGCGAGAGCACTGGTGAGATTTTCCTCAAAAGTAGTGAATTTCTGTTATGCCAATGAATATTTCTTCTAACAGTGAAGGAGATTATAGACTATGACAAGCGAGGAAGGAGCAAAAGAGTGTCAAGTAAATAAAACCTGATGTCATTTTGGCCGGAAAATTACTAGTTTATGAAGGATAAACTTAGAGGTCAGTGCTGAATTTTTATTGTGTAGTGAATATCATAGATTTGGTAAAGGTGCACAAGTGAACAGTTATTCCTGTTTTTCATTCTGCTCTTATCAGGGTTTTAGAAGATATCATCTCAGCAGTAAGGATATCTTTTCTGAAACTATAAAGTGTTAACTTGTGGAAATCTCTCCTAGTCGCCTTTCATATATCTTACTTATTTAAACTCACTTTGATGGTATTGGAAACACATTTGCAGGTAAATTACATACATAGTCCGTTTATTGGATATTGATTGTACTGCCTTGCATTCCAGGGCAGACTTAATTCAACAATTCCCTAATTAGTTAAAGTCATAACCTATGTCTTGTATTCATTTACCATTAATTAAACCTTAGCTGTTTATTACACTGCAGTCCAAATCCAATAGCCGACCCAGAAAGCCATGGAAAAGGAAGTAGGAGGTCAATATTGAAAATATATGGTGCGGAGTCCCACTGATGGTCGCTTTGTTCACAATCAATATGGTCAATGCAACTGTACTTTCTTAGTTGCTCTGTCAGCAAGACAAAAAGTCAATTCTAATGTTATGCTTGTGAAAAAATGGTGATTATTGAAAAACTTTGGCTTTCAAAATTATATGCTTTGTAAACTTTTGCTTATAAAAGTATTTTCAAATATGCTAAATCAAACAAATAATTTTTTAAACAGTTTTGAAAGGACCACATTTTCACTAACAGACAATTGGACATTTGCACTTGTTGATAATTGTGTACTGTTACCCTAAACTGACGTGATGCATTACAATCAGGAAGAATCATAGAAAACATTTTCTGGAATGGAAATTAGCTATTATACACATGATCAGAGTAACAGAAATTATTACATTTTTTTCAACTATGGTTTGGTTAGAAAAGTAACGATTACTTGGAAATGTAGTAGTAGTATGTAATTTTTCACCATTTACATTGTTAATAAATCAGTGAGTATTTAAAGATAAAACAGGACATGGCTTTAATTAAATTAAGAAATATAAAAATCAAATGCTCATTGATATTGTTTTTTTTTAAATTTAAAGTTCTTTGCTCTTAGTGAATTTTTTTCTTCACTTTCACCAGATTTGTTCTATTATCCCTAATAGAATTTTCAGAAACCCGAAAGTACTTTTTAGATAGTGGTATAATAGAAATTCGTGATACACATTCTTAAGCATTGATCTAGTTGTGTTAATAATCATGCTAACTTATGGGTGGGCCACTTATTTCACCTGGTAGCTCTAATACTTATCTGATCTGGTTCTGAGTATTAAAATAACTAATAAACCGTGGTGATTGTAGAAAGAGAAGCAGAGTTGATACACATTGGTCTGGTCAGTATTTGGACTGTGGTAATTCTGAAAGTCCTCTTCAGTAAATTTCACAATTTACTAATACTTATCTGATCTGGTTCTGAGTATTAAAATAACTAATAAACCGTGGTGATTGTAGAGAGAGAAGCAGAGTTGATACACATTGGTCTGGTCAGTATTTGGACTGTGGTAATTCTGAAAGTCCTCTTCAGTAAATTTCACAATTTAGGGGGGTGTTTTCAATATCTTAGAAAGGATGAACAAATTTTTATTCTGTAGTTATTTAAAATTTTTTCTCCCTAAATCATATAATACATGTTGATGAGTTGGGTAGGTTTTGCCACGCTAAGTCTTTGGCGAGAAGATTGAACTGAGTATGATGATATTACATCCCTGGAAGATTCAGGGAATATTCAGGGAAGAGCCTACATTAAAAATTTTCAGTATTTGCTACAAAGTTATGTGCTGGAGTGAATATTCATTTTGATCATAGGTTTCATGGGTTTTCTGTAAAATAGTAGATCCCCGTAATGCATTTTAAATAGGATTCACACTAAACTTCTAGGCATATCTATATCTATGTGTAGATATAGATATAAATATAGATATACACACATATATATGAACATACATACATCCACATATATACATATTTGCTGAAATTTTAGTATGCAGTTTTAGTCTGCATACTAAAATAGAAGGCTTAATATTGTCAAATGTTTGAATACTGTTCATTCTTAATGATTTACATTTTATTTTCCAAAATAAAACATTTTAGTTTAGGATTTTATTAGAAATGAAATAATCATTTAGCCATATCTAGAAACCAGAATAAACAGGGTCATAAATCCTACAGGTAAATGTAGGAGGTCAGATTTATAAATACTCATGTGTTTACTTTTAGTAGTCACTATGTAGTGTAATCTCAGAAAAATCATTTCTCTACCAATCAGCTATCAAATCAAATAAATACTGAGGAAAGATAATGCAAAATAAACCATAAAGAGCAAAACTAGCCAGCCACAAAAAAAGCAAGAGCAAAAAAAGGTATCACTAATAAGTAGAACTTCCAGTTGCCAAAACATTTGCTATGTGTCAGGTACATCTGTGTCTGGTCAGGCCAAGAGAAATATTCAGACTTCAATGCAAAACTGATATATGAGTTAGCTGCCCAACAGAGACTGTTATCCTGATCAGACTACCTGGTCTCTCCTACTTTTTGCAGTGATTATTCAGAAACTGAAGCTAAATATCATTTTTCTGTGGATTAATTGGGTTTTTATAATGAAGGAGCTTGTACAAAGTGCCATTCAGCCATTTCACCTAAGCATTTTCTAATTCAATTTTATGTAAAAGAGTAGCTAAGAGGGAAAGAAAAAAAAAACATTTTAGCAATTAGCTTGTGTTATTAGAAATCAAAAAGATATTCATAGAGATATATAGAGATGAATGGACAGATGGATGAATGGATAGAGAAGTATTCCTGGAACTATCACACATCTGTAGGTCTGTATCCATTTTTTAAAAATTGCGGTGGTTCTCCCAAACTCAATTCTCTTGTGTGACCTAAAGCCATTTTCTAAGTGGCTGAAGTGTTTCATTTAGTATAAAATTGGAGTAATATATGTTGGGCTTCTTTCTTCTATTATTAATTTTGTGTTCTTCATAAAAACTAGCATGTAGAAACACTGACATATTTTGGGCTTGTTGCCTGATAACTAAAGAGAATTATATCTCTTTCAAATATACTATTTTAAAATCTGCTATGTTCTTAGTAATGTTAAAAAGCAATATTTGGATCAATGTGTGATATGGATTTTTGTAGATTTTTCTACTCACTGAGGCATGCAGTCAATACCTAATTTCTCTAGGGGTATACTGCATTTAACATATTGAGCTTTTTAAATACTTCAGACCTGTGCATTGAGTGTATAATACCTATTTTAATTTGACATCATTGATGACCATAAAATATGATATCTAAATTGCATTTTAAATGTCCATTTGTTTATGTAATATATTCAATATCAAGGAAAGAAAATATATTACATCTTTTTTTATTTTGCCAATTGCTACAGTATACAAAATTCAAGTCATGTTATTTCTTGCATGGTTTCATTTCTCTTTAGCTCTCCAACTTATAAAATATATTTGAAATATATTTTCGTGTTAACAGACTTGGGGAAGTGACATGGTTTACACAATACTTATCTTTTTAAACAATAATTCAAAAAAGGGAACCCATTTTCCTGTTATAAGATACTAAGGCGAACCACTAAATTATTGATATGATGTTCGATTTGTTAGTAGTCAGGAAAATATACTGTTGATTTCTTCTTTGTTAATGCATAAACAATAATGAAGACTATTCCTTCTATATGGCACATACCCATTTTTTACAAAAGACATCACTTTCAAAGTCTCGATGTACGTTTTGGGCTTTTAGTTGAACTATTTGGTTAAGGATTAAGATCCTTTGCTCTGTTCAATAACTTTTTCTAAGCTGCAGACAGTAGTGTTTCACACACAAAATACTAGAGCTTAGAATTAAGAAATGAGAAGGTATTGAAAAAATGGGAGACCGGGTTTAATATTTTACTTGAAATATGACACATCGCATTCTACTTTCCTAATATCCTTTTTGAAATTGCAGTAAATCGTGGTCACCATAAAACTGTTCAGCTCTTTACACATCTGAATTGACAAAATACTGAATTACATAGGTTACCAGTTGGAAAACTAAGAATAAACTTTAAATTTGTTATGCAGATAGTCACCATTCACTTCTTCAGGTGAGCATCTCATGTAGGTGTTTTCCACTTTCTTAATGTCATTTATGAGCACATATACCAATACTTTGGGCATTTAAACCTGTCTGTTTGAGGCAAAAGTTTTCAAGTTCACTTTATTTCCTACCGATTCCTATTTTTACATACTCCATAATAGTACTCTATAAGAAATAAAACTAAAAGAAAGCACTTCAGGCAAATAATCAGATCCATCTTGGGATTAACATTTATACTTTTAATTTCCTCCCAATTCCTTTTTCATCTCATTGGTGAATTGGGTCCAGTTATCTTACTCCAGTTTTTCTTTAGAATAAGGATCAGTTCTCAAATGTAACTTCTCTCTTGTTCTTGTACCAGCTTGGAAGGACCATTTAACACTTCATAAAGACTTATAAATATTTTAACTAGAGACTCTTCTTTATCAGAATGAAGTAGCTTGAAATAGTTTCATAAAAGAATGGTTGCATGAAAAACTTTGTCACAATACAGCTTAGACGCTGGGATCTGCTGCTTGTTTGTTCCTTGCCAAAACAGCTACCTTTGTGTCACTATATCTTTTAAGTTTAAAGTTAAATGTCTGCTTCAAATACAAGGGTACTTCCAAAAGTTCATGGGGAGATTCATATTCTCCTTTAATTCTGTTTTTCCATGAACTTTTTTTTTTTGTGACCGGTAAGGGCATCGTAACCCTTGGCTTGGTGTCACCCGCACCACGCTCAGCCAGTGAGCACACTGGCGGTCCCTATATAGGAGCCGAACCCGCGGCCTCGGCGCTTCCAGCGCCGCACTCTCCCAAGTGAGCCACAGGGTCGGCCCCTTTCCATGAACTTTCTGAAGCACCCTCAGCCTTCCCTACCTAGAAGTCGCGTATGTAATGTTTGAATGATGGAGGACAAGTAATTATTAGATTAAGCACGGGCTTCGGGTTCTGAAAGACTTGGATTCCAGTGCTGAGCTCTGTCACTTTTTGCTGTGTGATATCGAGCAAGTTATTTAACCTCTCCGAGCTTCTATTTTCTTATCAACAGGATTAATGATATTTACCTTATATTGTTTGAATGATTAAATGAGATCATAAAAAGCAGGTAGAGTGCCTGGTACAATAGCAGCTCTCCATAAATCACATTAATAGTTTTTATTTTAGTTGTGCATTCATTCTACTGTCAGCTGTTTCTGGAATCTGCTTTCTAGTGAAATAGAATTTAGGTCCCCACCTGTGCCTGTTTTTTTAATTGTTACTCTTGGCAATACTTTATAATTTAGAAATGTTGAACAATTGAGAACACCACAGGCTTTTAATGAAGAGTAATTTACATTGTTCCATATTTATAAGTTCACAAAAAGTTAGATTTTAAATAATATTTAAAAACTAACTTTAGACAGTGTTATAACACCAAGGGTAAGGGTTTGGAGCCCTGTACCAGCCAGCCACCAAAAAAAAGAAAAAGAAAAAAAACTAACTTGAGAAAGTTTAGAGGAAAATATTATTAATAACTAAATCTCATTACATTTCCAAATAATAATAAATAAAAGTTTGATTTGGGGGAGAAATCTATATGAAAACATAGTGCTAATGATTATATTAATTACCAAATGCAACAGAAGAACCTTATGCATTACAATAAATTATACAGATATATGACTCAGAAACAAAACAATCCATCATATATTTTCTATCCAAGTGAATGAAAATATATTAAAAAGAAATATATTGCCCAGCATCATCGAATTTTGGAGCTAAATATGTTTGTGGATTCCTAGTCCAGGGCTCTTTTTATTTGCTGCTTCACTTAGCATGTTTTAAAATGATTTTGAAAATTGTATAGTGAAAGAAGCAACTTTCAAATTAAAAGGTTTTTTTACAGTTAGATATTAATAGTCCTATTCAATTATGATCAACTTTCATGTAAATTATATACACACATAGATTCTAATATTGTCTTCTAGAATATTTGTTTTTTAATTAATTTAACAGGTAAATAAAATTACTCTCCTGTGTACAGTGCTGAAAGTAGACATAATCACTGGTAGAGTCTAAGATTTTAACTTCCCTAAAACAAACAAACTTTTCAATTTGTTTCTCTGTGAGAGAATTTCAGGGAAAGGTGTGTACTCAGAAACATTTTTAATGCTTTTATCTCACTCTTTGATGATGGGAAAGGGTGACTATTGGATGTTCTTTTTAATATTTCCTGTATTTCTGTAGAACCTAATGAAAACAGTGGTAAAATGTTTACCTAACCATAGTTATTAATGTATATTTGCAGTAAAAGGAAATAAGTAAAGGATTGAAAAATGTGATCATTTATTTTAATTAGGTAAGGCCATACTATAACAGTGAAGTAAAGTTAATTCTCAAAGGGCTATTTCAAATGAAGACCAGTTTATGAAAGATGGGCTTCAGAAATCTAAATGACTTGTCATTACTTACAGCTTCATATCAATTAATCCCTCAGTTGGGGGGTGGGGAGAAGTGGCTGGGAAGGTTCATTCCTTTTTAATTCTGATTGTTTTTCCTCAAGGGCCTCTTGTGTCTAGCCTATGTCATCCAAACAGGGGCCAGAATATCATTTTTGAAAATTAGAGGATGTGAATTTTTTTTAAGTCATGATAATCGGGAATTGCCATAATGGAAAAGAGACTTGTGAACACATCTGTACAAATGGAACCATTCCATTATTAATGGAAGATTTATTACTGAAGAAATCACTACAGAACAGTGTGTTGGAGATTGTGTTTTCATTTTAATATGAGAGCCAAGTCTTGCATTAGGACATTGTTGAAGCTTGTACAGAAAGTAAACGGCACCCACGGGACTGTAGCATTCTGTTAGATTGAAGGGCCTTTAATAATCCAATACTCTAATAGCAGTTAAGATAGAGTATGTGTAAGAGCTAATCTTGTCTTCTGCTTTTATAATAACTTATGTATGGTAACCAAAAGTAGTTATGATGTGCTGGCAGCATTGTTCTTAGTAGATGACTTTTTAAATTAAAAACTAAGTTCGCTGACTGACTTTTCAGAGTTTATTTAATGAAAGATAATAAAATAGGATACCTGTTTACAGCAGGTTTAACAGCCACATATTGCTCTTAGGAGATTATATATCCCTACGCAGATGGACATTCAAGTAATGGTAGAAATGTAAATACAAGCCTATTGTTTTATAGCAATTTGGAATGCTTATAAAAATGAGCTTATTTTATGGGTATTTACTAGTGTTTTAATCGTTATTTCAGTGATTTGTTAAGTGTCAGTTACATTCGACATGTTTCTTAGGTTTCATTGTCCATATTTTGATATAAGGCACTTTAAAAATATATAAAATGTGATGAAGTTAGTCTGTAGCATTTAGCAGTTGGATATTTACAGGGGCCTAAAAATATTTTTTTAATATATTTTTCATGAAAAACCATCTCATATTAAATTTTGAAAGCCTCTGTTTGGCTTCAAAATCTGCTCCCACCATCTCTTTCCCCACTCCTCCTACCATTGCCTCATTTATATATTTTTTATTCAGGATATGCGACCAGAATTTTAGCTTGGTACTGCTTATAATCAAAAATATGTAAAATCTTAGAACTGTGTATCCAAAGCAGTAGACATATTTTATTGCATTTTTATGTCACTGAAAAATCTTAAGACAGGCCTGTTTTTTAATACTGCACACTAGATGGCAGTTTTGTCATGTTCTTCCAACTTCAAGTACAACTAGTGTGAGTGGAACAGGAAAGGCCATCAATGTTTAGTCTGCGCTCAGAGGGTCTCTGCATGACCAATGCAGACCCCATGGACTTCCTGGAACATATGTTAGCAATTTAGCTGCAGACATTTATTTCTTTGTTTTACTGCTTGGCTCTTTGAGAAAGTGTTGGTGCTGGGTTATGGGTTGTCTGGATCATGTCAGAGGCCATGGGGATCAAGTTCATGTGACAGGCCAGACTAAGGAAAGATGAAGTTGGAGGAGGTGAGGAAACTGACCCTTACTTTCAACAGCAACAAGTCACTGCCTGTCTGTGGACTGGGGCCAAATGCCTGGGTGTTTGAGTTTTACTCCAGCTGAACAAACAAAACACTTTGCCCATTTGACTTTTTCATATTTCATCAATAGTAGTTCACTCAAAGATTTTTCTGTTTTTCAAGAATTTGCTTATCCTTCATCTTTCTCTCTTAATACTTACTCCTATAGCCCTGTCCAGACGAAGTGACGTTGAAATCCTTGGCTACTGCATGCTGCGGTGGTTTTGTGGGAAACTTCCCTGGGAACAGAACCTGAAGGACCCTGTGGCTGTCCAGACTGCTAAAACAAAGTACAAAATTTCAAGTATTCTGTCATTTACTACAGCAGGTCTGAAGGGATATATTAAAGGGAGCTAATATGGCAGTGAAGGTTGCTATTCACCCAGTATGACAACCAAAGCAGTTTTCTTTAATTTGAAAATTTTTTTTTAAAAACCAAACAACTAACAGACATAAAATGCATTAAGATAACATCTATAAAATCACATGTACTTGAATTACAATGCAAAATATAAAGTGAAATGTCTGTTCCTTTACATGGTATTTTCCAAAGTTTAGATTCTAGATGGTGGGATTTTCAAGGAAGAATATTTTTAAATTAGCATTGTACAAGTATATGAAGGTAGTCTGACCTTGGTGTGATTGATATTAACTGTGCAGAGCAACAATGTGAAATGGGACAGATAGTACTTATATTTTTCAGGTGAGAGCAACATAACTCTTATTTTTGTCTTTGAGGAAGTGTGTTTTGTTTCTTAAGAAACAAGCCAATTTATTATATGAGCTGTTTATCTGAAATAATCTTGCAGCCACATAAACATTTTTAATATTCCACATTCAGTTTTTATCACCTAGATTCTGTTAGCATAAGAATTACGTCAGAGTAAGAACTGAATGTGTTACTGTTTCACGTTCTCTCACTGATCAGGCCTAGGAAAAAGTCAATTAAATGTAGCACAGAATAGCCAGTTTTCTGTTATGGACCAAGATATGCTCAACAGTAGCTATCCACAGATACAATGTCACAGTTGAAAAAGGCAGCTAAGTTTTAAGTAGGACATGTCACAACAGAAGTGTACAAAAATGGGAGGTGGAGGGGTGACTGATCCATAGACTTCAATCTTCAAATTTAGTGTGGCATCAGTTCTTTTTTTTTTTTAGTTCTTTTTTTTTTTTTTTTTGTCCTTTTTGTGACCGGCCACACCGGCCATCCCTATATAGGATCTGAACCCACGGCGGGAGCGCTCCTGCACTCCCAGCGCCGCACTCTCCCGAGTGCGCCACTTTTTTTTTTTGTCCTTTTTGTGACCGGCCACACCGGCCATCCCTATATAGGATCTGAACCCGCGGCGGGAGCACTCCTGCACTCCCAGCACTGCACTCTCCCGAGTGCGCCATGGGCTCAGCCCATCAGTTCTTAATAGAAAGGCTACCTTGCTGAATCAGAATAATTCCGATTACATTTGTAAATACTGACATATTATGTGAAATATTTCTCCACTTAAATCTTGATTATCCTAGTTCCTTACCCAAAACTAACACATTTATATGTTCATAGTAGATTAATATTAGATTTCAATATTAGTCAGTATTAGAATGATCTAATCAGTTATTTACTGCAGTGATTGATATGTCCATATTTACCTTCAGGTTACTGACATTTTTCATGGGATGGGTCAAGTCAAAGCACAGTAATAGACATATAAGCAGTTTTGGTATCCAATTTTCTAACTCAGTTTGCATAATTTGTATAATGTACTTTATTTAAAAGGCTAGAGTTTTAATTCTAATGATTATCTGTATGTTTTTCTTTTAATAAGACTTACTTAAATGGTTTGTTTTAGTCTTGTATTATATGCATGTATAGATGCATTTGTTATAGGTAACTATAATGAACATATCTACATATGTATAGTCATGTATAATAATAGGGTATCATATTAAATAATAAAATATAATGCTAATAAACATAACCTCCATTTACATTTTGGGGACTCTTACTACATATGTTAATATCTTCATTTTGATTTAATAATGTAAACCTATAGACCAGTAAAGCTAATATCATATTATGAAGTTAAAATTTAGATAAACTGTAGACATATTCAGACTTCATATAGTATATAATACATAATCATAATTTATTCAACTTGCTGAGAAGGTATAACACTGAATTTCCACATAAGGGCATGACTGCATATTCTTCCATAACACTTTATCTCCCTTATGCCCTTTATTTCCCTGACATAGGGTTATATTAGATCAGTGCACTTATTTTTGCTGTTCTGCCTGTGTATGAGTTTGTGAATCACTCACTGATGTCAGTCATTTTAGTTGAATGTTTGTATGTTTGTGGCTAAAGCAACTTAAGAGAATTGTACTTTTTCAGTCTAAAACACTAGAAAGTATTTACAATGGTTTTTTAGGGTTTTTTTGGTATTTCTTGTTAACCTATTTAGTCATAGGATAACATAAAACACTGGTCAAAGGAGAACAATATACCTAAATGTTTGAATAGTTTACACCTCTCCAATGGTAAATACCTGAGGAAAAATATCCTGAAAATCCGGATACAATTTTTTAAAGAAAAAAACGACAAATATCCCTACTTTGCATTTCTACATGTGCAAACTTTGAGTTAAGTCATTTATACTATTATTCTACATTGTTTAGTTTCTAGGCGATTGACATAAATTTGGTCAATGGGAATTGACCCCCACTTCTACCTACCTTCCCATTCATTACAAGTGGGTGGGGAAAAAAAAAAAAAAGGATTGAAAGTCACAATTTTGGTAACCTTCTGACACAGAATTAGAGTTGTTTTCTAATCAAAACAATATGAATCAAAGGATTGAAAACAAATTCATTGTGTTACTCTATTTTGTTTTAGCCTGTTGGATGAGCTCCCTGAGTCAGTGCTTAAATGGGCTCCTTCTGGAAACAGTTGCTGTGAGTCAAATGATAACTTCTACCTTCTCTTTTTTGTAGCCTTTGCTTAATCTGCCCACTCCTGTTCCCATCAGGGTGGGAAGAAACTCTTCAGGGTTACAGATAGGTTGCTAAAGAAGAAAATGTTTAGATCATCTTTGACATTACAACACAAGAACCCTATTAGAAGATATTTAGCTGAAGTTCTAGGCTTTGCTGATAGCATTTTTTAAAGATACCTATTTAGAGACTCATGCATAGATTTAACAGTTAACTGCATCTTGTATTTCTAGAGTTGAAACTTCCTATTTTTATTCCTCTATATATTGATGAAAGAAGATAAAGTTGACCTAAGGAAGGACTGCTTTCAGGCAATAATTTAAAAAGCCACGTTATTAAATACTTGAATGCTGTTTACACCTGAGTTACACTGTTACTGAACAGCCAGCAAACATTTTTTCTTCTTGGGATTTGGAGATATATTTCATAAATAGTTGTCTCTTTCAAGTTAGTACAGACTTTTTTGGAATTCTTTAACTGACAATAATATCAATATAAAATAGTAAGTCAATTCAGATTACCCAAGTTCCTGTCATTTGTATATGCATGCATGACATATTATTCTGCACTAATTTAACAATTGAGTTAAATATAAGATCATCTTATAGAAAAGAGCCAGCTCCTGCTGTCACGTTTGCTTTTTCTCAGAGTAAATCTTGTTCTCTATTTAAACACTGGGCAATCTCAGAGTTAGCTTTTAGCTGACTTTTGAAAGTGGATGTGTACACTGACCCTCTAACTAAGGTCAAATAGCATCAGTTTCCATCTGAAGAGCTGAAAAGTAGGGTTGTGATTGTAAACTTACATTCACAGTCTTTTGACTAGAAATGAAAATTTTCATTTGCATGGGAAACAAAAAAGGAACTAACCAGATCTACTTCCCACCTCCATTTCTTGATTCCCATAAGTCTGTCCCCATGTGAGTCTTCTGCTTTCCCCTTTCTGTAGTACTTTTCTTCTGATGGAGGGGCTCAAACAGAAGAGATTCTTATTTGGGGAGATGGGTTGGAAGATGAAAGTTTTGTTTTTATAACTGCATTAAATAACTTGGTCAAAACGACAGTACTCTTTTTGACATTTTTATCAAATAATATGGTTTATGTTTTGCTCAGTGGGACAGAAAGAGAGATGGGGAGATGTGATTTCTTTTTTTAATTCTTTTCTTCCTTACCTTTCTTGTCCCTCCTGCAGAAAAGGTAACTGTTCAGTTTAGGATTAGAAAAGAAAGCCCAGGTGCGCTGCATTGTACAAGATAAATGCTCATGGGACAGTGTATATTCTGTGATATTTCTGTTGTTAGATATAATTTTTTGTTTTGTTTTGTTTTGTTTTTTGACCTGTAAGGGGATGGCAACCCTTGGCACGGTGTTGTCAGCACCACACTCAGCCAGTGAGCGCACCGGCCATCTCTATATAGGATATGAACCCGCGGCCTCAGCGCTGCCAGCGCCACACTCTCCCGAGTGAGCCACAGGGTCGTCCCTGTTAGATATAAGTTAAGAAGATATGAGTCATACAAGAAATCTAGGTGGGAGGCACACATGATTCCTCATAGTACACACCATTTGAGTCTATACTATTGTTTATAAAATGCAGATTTCTATTTCTAAAGCACAAAGTGCTGAAACTTTAATATTAGGTGAAAATCTTTTAAGTTCGGAGATTGTGCTTAGGAGAAGCGCAATGATGAAAATTAAAGAATCTGATTTACAAGTTTTTTTACTAGGACATTTTATAAAATAAAACAGCCAGGAAGTTTGTAGCATTCATGTACGACTCAGTGTAATGACAGTAGTTTCAAAAGTTTCTATCTCTTGAAATTATAGTAATGATACTTAATATTTCACTAGCTTAAAAAGCAGATAATTCAAGAATATCATAATTTCATACTACTCAAAGCATTTTGTTTTATAGCCCTGGAAATATGCTAGTAAATTAAAAAATGTACTTAATATAATAAATCCAGATCTTGAGAGGCTAACATTTTAACCAGTACTACATCACAATAGTGTAAGCTTCAGGTTTGTAATAATAAATTTACAATGGAGATGGCTCTTTTCATTTTTTTCCTCTCCTACCTCATTTTTCCAAACCCCAGTCCCATGAAGGCTTTGCAGCACAGCTGCTATCAGTTGGTAAAGTGCCAGGAGGTTTCCATTGTCTTGTAACAGTGATTTGTTCCTAACCTATTCAGCTCTCTTCTCTGTTGGAGATATTCTGGTTAATGGAATTGCAATATATACTAAACTTTGCTTACTAACCTTCAAAGGACCATAAAACAACAGAATTTTTGTATTAAAATGGTAGCAAATGTACTGTAATCTCTTTTCCTTTTTGATCATCCAGTCAGGAATTGGATGCCCCAATAAGGGGCCCAGAAAATACCAGTTATAAATGTGGTGATAAAGCAGCAGCACTTGCTAGTTAACAGAGATCTAGTTGGCTGAATGCTAGAAACAGAATTTGATATATCATAAATTAGAGGGGAAAAAAGTAGGTTCATAATTGCTCTGGTATCCCCAGTGGGGGGGGGGGGGGGCAAAGAGATCTCATTTTAATCACATTAGCTTCATGTTCCTAGAAAACAGCTCTGTTCTAGATGGTGTAAAATGGTCACTCTGACTTTAACAGGGAGAAAGGGATGATAGGGGGGGGGGGGGGAGGCAAAGAGATCTCATTTTAATCACATTAGCTTCATGTTCCTAGAAAACAGCTCTGTTCTAGATGGTGTAAAATGGTCACTCTGACTTTAACAGGGAGAAAGGGATGATGGCTATTCCCTTTGGAATTTTTCCCTGTAGGGAGTAAAACCCAGTGCCTCTGCAGTTCTCCACTTGAATGGAGGTGGGCCTGGACGGGAAGTGAAGGATTACTAGGAAGCCACTCCTGTCAACCCATGAAGCTTCCCAGACTTTCCCACCATAGGATATAAAGAACTGAGAGAGAAAGTAAGAAGTACTTGTGTCTGGGTCAGTAATACGTTTTTGAAGGGGAAAGTTATGCCTAAACATCTCTGTGAACAGGTGAAAACATGGCATTTTAAAGTAATGTACGATATTATCACTACTTCTGTCCCAATTTTAGATTGAACCTTCACTTGAAACAAAAATGCAAACTACAAACATTTTAACGCAGCTATATTCATAACTTTTGGTTACTAATTCTACTTGTATTTAAAAGTTGAGGGCTGGCCAGTTAGAGCCCAGCGTTGTAGCACCAAGGTCAAGGTTTGGATGCCTGTACTGGCCAGCTGCCAAAAAAAGAGAAAGAAAAGTTGGTAGTTTGAACATTTTTGGGGAGGGGGAGGTTTACTATGTAGTTCTAGTGAAACATTATTTTATGTTAAGAGAAAAAAATAAAAGGTAGCAAGTCTTCTTTTTACTGCTCTAAAGTCAAAAATACTGCTG